CGCAACGACAGTGTCCGAGAAGGGAATGGCATGGCGCCCCAAGGGTCGGATTGCCGAAGCTGCTTCACATTATTGCTGAACTCATTTTCAACGCTGCGCTCGTAGGCGTAGACCAAACGAAAAGAGCGCTGCCCCGAACGAGAAACATAGTCATCAGCGCCGCCACTCTGACGCCCATCGCGTCGCTGTCACATGATGCTGGCCTCCGAATGTTGCTGCACTTGAGTCGCTGGGCTTTGTCGTGCCCCTTGCCTGCGACCCACTAGCTGCGTTGCATGGCAATGACATGGGGCCATGTGCAAATGCTGAACAATAGGCAATATGATAACGCACTCCCAGACAGAAGCCAGTTGACCGTTGCAGTTCTGTAGCGGTGCTGCTCCTGCTTTTGTTCGTCGAGCGAGTTCTTCGCCCGTTGTTTTGCATCGCCACCAATGCCCCCTGCTGCGCCGTCGTCACCACCTGGATCTCCCACGTCGCCGCCGGCGCCCTCGAGGTCGGGCAGTCCACCTGGCAAGCCCTCCACGGCCATCCTGTCATCCAGGGCTCCAATGTCAGCAATGGGCAGCGCCAGGCCGTCGTCAGCTCCTGGAGCGATGCCGCCGTCATCACCTATGGCGGCTCGGGGAACAGCATGCCCAACCAAGGCCATGAAGCGTTGGTAAGCATCGCGAAACACCCCGATCACCAATAAAAGCGCGATCCACCGAGGAGCGAGCTCAGCTTTTGTCCAAGATCTGCCTGGGAACGGGGGAGGCCCTGCGGCGACCAAAGCGTTGACTGCAGGCCCAAGTGCGCGAACCTTTGTTTCAACATCGCCTTCTGACGCCCACCGGTGCCATTTGAGCCGTCCTTCACCCCACGTGCCAGGAAAATGGATGAGAAGCTGTGTTCGCCTCTCGCTGTTCTCGACCGTGTCGGGCAGGATGTGCGCCATGTGCTTCAAATTCGTGGATCTCGCGCCAAGGGGAGGTGCACTTCTGTCCTCTGGCAAATCCGCAAGTGTCTGCCTCAATGCTGTCTTGAACAACCGTCGATGGTTCCCAAAACTCAAGCTCTGAACGCACTTGTAGATGAGGTTGCCCACGCGCCCTTCAGCATCGAATGATGATTCACGGTGGCTTGATTGAGTGTGCACACAGCATGTGGCGATGGTCTCTGCGGCAGCGGAGTCAAGAGTCCTGATGGTATGTAGTTTTGCCCGTCGTGCTTTAGCCATGGCGCCCTCACGATCCGTTGCGCACACATTGTGGCGCCTCAAGAACTCCCAAGACAAGTCACCGATGCCCAACGCCTGATCAACTATGCATTCTGCTTGGAAATACACTTCGGCAGTTCCCCTGCGAAGGGATTGCGTCGGAACTGGCATGCGCCATGAGAACAATCGCCAACAACCTTTGAGCTCGACGAGGGCTGCAACTGTGACCTCTGTCTGGTGCACTTTCGCAACGCCTGAACTCCTCTCTACATCGCCAAAAAAAGCTGCCGCTACCTGATCGATCACAGCGGCAGGCAAACCATGAAGAGTGTCCGCGTCGGATCCGCCACCGCGCACAAGAGCACAGTGAGGCGCGTTAGAATGTAAAGTGCTGTCTGGCTGCCTGTTGTTGTAGCCTTCCAGAGACCACAACCACCCCTCTTGTAGCGCAGGGCTGCGTTCGTGTGGCCACGCGAAGCATGGGCGTTTCGCCTGAGACATCCTCGCCGAGGCGCCAAGTTTCCAGCCGTGCCGTAAAACGCCGCATGCTAAATGGGCGTTTCGCTTCAGACACCATCGGGAACACAGTTGAAATCGGCGGCCTAATACTCGGGATTACACGCATGACAGGCCCCTGCTTGAGACACCCCAGGAACAGGGGAGCGCGCAAACGTCAGTTTTCATGCGCGCGTTCAAATCGATATCGGCTGCCCTCCGGCCCCCTTTTTACAAAAGAACCCAAGACGACTGAGGACAGCGGTGGTGATGTCACATCGTGACGTTTAAGCAAGCGTCACGTCTTGTACTTGTGCGTTTTGCTGAGCAAGCAATGGCGGCACGGATGATGACAGCGGCAATGGCGATGGCGGTTTCGGGGCGAACGCCGAAAAAGTCTCACGTATGTTTTTTTGGCCGTTCTCGGTTGGGAACGCGGCAATGACGATGACCAGGAGGCGGAGGGAAGGGAAAGGAAGAAAGGCCACCCGTCACATGCGACACTTCTCGTTTTGATTTCTCGGAAGCGTCAGAGGCGATACCTCTGACGCGTCGGATCGGATGAACACGACCCGGCAGATGACGATGGTGGTCGTGATGACAATGAAATTCATGCTGGCGGTAATGGTAGCAACTTCCCGCGGGGCAAACGCTGCAACCGTCGTGCGTGACGCCCCTGCCGTTCGGGCCGAAGACGGCGATGGCCAGGAGGAAGAGGGATGAAGAGGAGGAGGAGGAGGAAACTTGATTTTGACAAGGGTACTAACCTATGCATATGGCACATTCCGCATTCATGTTGAAAATGGTTATGGCATCAATGCCGAGGGGGGTGTTTAGGCGAAACCTCCAGTGTTAAACTCCTTTGGTGGGTCCTCATCATATGCCACCATCATCATCATCATCATCATCATCATCATCATCATCAGCGGGGCCGCCACCGCCAACACCACCACCAACCCCTAAGAGGGAACTTGCCAAAAGCTAGGACACCCGCGTCTGCTCCCGCAAAGGCCTCCGAGACATCAGGGCTGGCACGGCGGCGGGATTGGCGCAGCCAAGAAGATATCGTCATTTTCAGAGACGTTTCATCTGAGCGGCGGAATGTATACAGCGTCTGCAACGTGCCATCACCGTCTTTGACATCACGAATGAGCTTAGCAAGGGAATGTTTGAACGCATACACGTGTGCGAGCCACGAGAGACACGCAGACAACTGAGCCCGAGTACCCACCATGTTGATGGTTGTGTTACATTGTCGTGCATTTTCTGTGAGCGTCTTTATGGCGAACAGAACATTATCACGATTGACGAGGTGATCATATACACGGGACGCAGCACTGGGCGTTCGCGCTGCTTCCCCGAACTGCAGGACAATATTAACAACGATCGGGAAACACCTTATCACATTATCCCACAGCTGGCCCACGTCACACACTCTGTCGGGAATAATGGCGACAGCCTGAGCCGCCACATCATCATCACGGCCGGGCTCTATATCAGGTGGGGGGGGCGCAATTTCTGGTACAATATCAGCAGCTGGCACAAGATCAGCAGCTGGCACAATATCAGCAGCTGGCACAATATCAGCAGCTGGCAAGTCCCCGATTGCAGGGGCAACAACGTGCATATCATCATCCACCTCTGGCGTTGGACAATTCATGATCGGCTCAGGCGCCCTCAACACAGGCAGTGTCGGAACAAGCTCATTTTCCAACGCACGGGTGAACAATCTTCTCAGAATATGTCTGGCATTCGGCGGGGGAGGCGGGTCATCCTCGACATCGATTGCCTCCCCCGCCCAGGCAGAAAGAAAATCCATCGGTGGAGAAGTGGATGGGGAAGGAAATGCTGCAGGCCAAAATGGCTCGAAACAGTGGCATGGGGTCCATGGGCGCTCAAGGGGCCAGCCGTGCACGATACCTGTCGATCTCGACTGTTATCCCTATAGCTTTACGTTACTGTTTGTGTTGCTGTTTATGTTTACTGTTCCTGTTACTGTTTATGTTGATATACCACAGGTACTGTTTATATTATCCCTGTGTACTGCTTAGGTTATTTATCCCTGCTGCGCATGCCTAATGTTACTGTTTATGCTGATATCCCACATAGGTTTGACCACTGGCGTTGTGCATTGCAAATGCTTGTTGTTATTGCTTGTTCTTCTGTTCACATCACGTTGTTGGACAATGTTCGTGTCATACGCTTCTGGGACCCTCGAGGCTGCTTTGGTTTTTGCATCGCACAATTCTCTACCAGAAAATGTGGGTCGATGTTTCTGTGAAAGCTGAACCAATTCAAAACCAATTCACAACCAATTTTCGGCCAGCTTGGCCCACATGGCACAATCGAGGAAACAGAAGTCTCAAGCCAAATCCTTCAAGGACCCCATCTGTGCAAGCACTCATTGGGTAAAAACAGGAGTTCGGGCAAATCTCCTTGAGCCATCGCCACGACTCTGCCGAGATCATGGTTTTGTTGTTGATTGTTTGTTGGTGTGTTTTCTTGTTGTTTTCCAATGGTTGTCCTTCCCTTTCCCGCTCGCGGAGGAAATTATGTTGTATTCCGCCTGCGAAGGAATCCTTTTAATTTTCTGCCGCAAGCGGATTCCCTTGTCATTCCGCCACAAAGAGAATCCGTTTGTATTCTGCCACAGAGGGAAGCCGTTGTATTCGGCAGCAAAGGAAACGGTTCTGCATTCCCCGCAAAAGAACTCTTTGCGCATGCACACACACAATAGGAATCCTTTTGGAGTTAAGCCGCTATGTGTGTATATACACAACTATGTAGAGACAAATCAAATTACATTCCGCCGCAAAAAGAGCTAAGATATTGTGTACTACAAGAACATTCCGTTGGTGGTGGGACAATACAAAATTCATTTGAGTGGAATGGAAGTCTTTTTCTTGAGTCCTTGCGTGGCGGAATACACAAGGATATGTGTCGTTATTTCTTTCGGAGAAAAACTCAATCGCCCAGGCCTGTATCGCGCCTGGTGCAGGAGCAGGAGCAGCAGAGGAGGAGCAGGAGGAGAACCGACGACGGAGAGGTGGAGGAGGCGGAGGAGGGAGGGGATGTGGGGCAGCAGGAGGAGGAGGAGAAGGGAGAAGGAGAAGGCGAAGGAGAAGGAGGGGGACTTGCGTAGAGGAGGAGCAGAAAGAGGAGGTGGAGAGGGACTGCTCCACTGGGGGGGGGGGGGGGGGCGGAGCCTGCCTCCGCCTCGCTGGCGTCGCGGCTCTCGTCGAAGGCGGCCGCTCCAGCCGCGGCCACCGCCGAGCCCTGGGGCGGCGGAGAGGGAGAGGAAGGAAAGGAGGCGGCGGCGGACGGTGGCATGGACGCGTGGTCGTGCTCAATTGTCTTGGGGTCGGTCGAGGCCTGAGCCGCCAAGTGACAAAAAAAGTCAAAGAAGACAGGGCAGCCTCTGGAGGGGATATCCGCGGGAGGCCTGAGACTTGACTCAAAATACTAAAAGCCTTGAGACAGGTGAAATGGTGCCGCGAAGCCCTGGACCAGATGAACAGATATGGGCAATGGTGGGAAGCCACGTGCCACATTGCACAAAGACACCATGAGACGGACCGCACTGACGCATGACAAATTATGGGCACATGTCCGCCGAAGGGGCATGGAGCGCGGCACCGCACTCAACCTGCCCGCCACGCCTCCCAGAGCCGGGCGGCGAGCGGAGGATGGGGCCTGAGGAACCTGTTACGGGGCGTGAAAACGACCACAGCCACTGCTTTTCTTTTGTTGCCGCCTTCCAGCCCGCAGAAACAAAGCAGTGGTTGTGGTCATTTTCGTTGAGCTTGGCACCAGGGAAATGACCACAACGACTGCTTCTTTTTCGGCCGGCTGGAAGGTGGCGTAAACAAGAAGCAGTGGCTGTGGTCATTTTCCCGTCCCGCACCCGTGCTGGGGGGGAACCCAGCAGGGGGGGGAACCCAGGTCGCCGACCCGCGATCGCCCCCCCTACGGAGGGTGGCTGTCGATCCGGCCGGCTACCCAGGGGATTGCACTTCAACCGCAGGACACAGGTCGTGCCCGCTCTCCCCCCCCGCCAGATCACGGGAAGAGGGCGGCGCCCCGGCCGAGTACTCGAGCACGCCGTCCTCGACGCTGGCCTGCCCGCAGTCCAGCCAGTCCTCATGGTAGTTCCAGCCCCCCCTCCACGGCGAGTGGGTCCCCACGCCTGGCCGGCTCCGCTGGGCCGCGTCCCGCCTCGCGTAGCCAGGGCCCCGCCAGCCAGCGTCCGCGTGCCCCGCAGAGGAGGTGATGAGGCCAACCTGCGGGCACGGGTCCACGTCTCCCGGGCCGCCGCGCCACCGGGGCACCACCGACGCAAGCCCCTGCGAGCGCATGAAGCGCAGGATGCGCAGCACCAGCGGCACCTGCGCCTCCAGGCGCTGGGTGTACGTCCCCTTAATGCTGGCAAAATGTGCATCCATACCCACTGCGTCTTGGAGTCTCGGGCACCCTTCCCCAGAAGCCCGAGGCGCAGTGGATATGTATAAAGATCTGGCCCCTTTGGGGGGCTGGATGTGTGTACATATCCGCTGCGCCTCGGCCTTGTGGCGCCCCTTCCCAGAGAGTCCAGGACGCAGTGGATATGGATGCAAATCCTGCCCGCACTTGAAGTAGCCCGAAAAGTGGAACATGTTGGGCACGTCGGAGACCATGAGGCCGCCCCGGTACGCCATCTTCTCGCCGAGCAGCTGCGGGCGGCCGTCGACAACCAGCTCCACGCCGCCGAGCAGGCTCAGCTTGTGGCCCGTCGCGAGGACAACGAGGTCGGCCTCCAGGTGCTCTGGTGTCTCTGGCTCGCCGCAGCTCTCCGCAGCTGCTCGGGCGCCGCTCGACAGCGGCTTGAGGCGGACGCCGCCGGGTGTGAAGCGGTCGATGTGCGCGGTGATGACTCGGAGTCGTCCTCGCTGGAGGGCGGAGAAGAACTCGTCGCCCGGCGCGAAACCCGTGCGCTGCTCGAAGAGGGGGTACTCGGGCGTGAAGTGTCGTCGCAGCTCCGGGAAGCGCCGCGCAATGGCCTCGACAGCCGCTGCACCGTCCCTCTCCCTCGCTGCCACTGCTTCCGGCAGCGATGCACTCCATGCCAGCTGCCTGTCGTTGAAAGCTTTCGTCTCCCACAAGGCTTTGCGCCGCATCCACCAGAAGATGGCGCGAAACATGCACCTCCCAAGGATCTTCAGGATGCCGCCTGCCTGCACCAAGCGCGTCGCAATAGTCCAGAAAGACCACCTTGGATAGTGTAGTGCGCTCGATCGGATGTAAGTTGGGGAGCGCTGCAACATAGTCAAGCTTTTAGCGCCCCGGGCAAGGGCTGGCGCGGTCGTCACTGCCGTTGCCCCGCTGCCCACCAGAACGACCCGCTTGCCCTCGTACTCCACGTCGTCTGTCCAAGAATGCGTGTGCACAATCCTGCCAGAAAAAATTGCCATTCCTGGGATCTCTGGAATGTAAGGGTCGAACAAATCGAAATATCCAGTGCAGTTCATTACGTGCTGGCAGCTGAAGCGCCTGCCCCCCGAAGTGGTCAACTGCCAGCGACCCGACTGGGAATCAAATTCGGCTCGCTGCACGTGCTGGCCAAAGCGCATGTACTGATCCAAACCGTGCTCGTCGACGACTTCCCTGAAATATTCCAGGAGCTCCTCTCGCGTGGGCATCATGCGCGTGGTCCTGGAGGAGGCGTGGAACGAGTATCCGTACAGCCCCAGCGGCGAGTCGGTCCGCAGGCCTGGGAACCTCAGCTCTGCCCACATGCCGCCCACGTCGGCCCGCCGATCCAGGACCGCGAAACGCTTGGTGCCCAAGCGTCTCAGATGATAGTCGGGCTGGGCGAAAGGGGGGGATGGCAAAGGGGTTGGTTGAGAATCAGCTCACGTAGCTGATTTTCCCGGCGCCTCCCGGCGCCAGAGGCGACCATGTATCGAGGAATGGGTCCCTCGGTGGGGCCGAAACCAGCTGCATGCAGCAGATTTCGTACCCCCCCCTTTCCCTATCCACCCTTTTCGTCCGGCCCGAGATAGGCCAGGAATATGCCGCTCAAGCCTGCACCCAGCACGAGCACGTCGTGCTCTTCCACCCCGCTCGGCGAGGCATGCCCCCGACCCAGACCCACCCCGATCGTCGATTCTTTCACAACGTCGACTCCGGAGGTCTCGACCCCTTCCCCGGGACCTGCTTTTCATCCCGAGTCGTCGTTTCATGGCCCCGAGGCTCGGCAGGGGCCCCCAGAGGGCCAAGATAGCGAAAAACCGCCCGTCGTGTTTTTTCCCCCCCCGGAGAAGAAAAACCGGCATAAACATCAACGTTTGGATCCAAGAAACCCGCGCGGAGCGCCAAAAGTGTACCTATGTTTATGCTGTCTTTTCTTCTTCGATTCACAACTCAAGAGGATTGTGAGGGATGGGATCCTTAGGACGAGGTGCCTCAGACAACGTAAATCCACCCTTGGATCCCCTCCTATCCGTAGAACCCCATCCTTCAGGACCGCATCTTTGAACTACAGTGGAGGCCAGTCCACAAGAAACCTCCCACGAGAAGCCCAACCCTGAAACCCCAGGACGTCCTTTGGCTTTTGGCGTGAGAGCGCCGCGCTTTGAGCAGGGACCGACCGTCCCGTAATTCCTATAGTCCTACCACGAAATGTTCTTAGAACCCACAAATGTTGTTCTTAGAACATAAACCCGATGTGACAAAACAAGACAGGCTCCACCAGAAATGTTCTAAGAACATTTCGCGGAAACCACAAAATATTCCTAGAACACGGTAGGGCTATAGGCGAGCCAGGACGCTCTGCTGGAGCGCTCCCCGAGGCAGAACCATCGGAACCCGAGAAGCCCAGGGGCACCCCGGAGGCAGGCAAGTGCTTCTTGGCATGGGCCTCCACTGTGCCGACACAGCTCCAGGGGGGGTCTGGAGAGCCCCCGCGCCCGCCACGGCGGCCATCGCCGCGGCTCCACGGCCCGCGCCCCGGGGGGGAGAGCGCCAGCCGCGGCGGCTCGGAGGCGCCCCTCCCCGGCGGCGCTCGGGGGCTGGGCCCCGAGGCAACCAGCCTCGAGCCCATCGCCACGGAAAGGGGAAGGGAGGAGGGAGGACCTCGTCGTCCTACTTCTCTTCGTCCTCCTCCTCCTCCTCCTCCGCCTCCTCCTCCTTCTCCTCCTCATCCTCCGCCTCCTCCTCCTCCTCCTCGTCCTCCTCCTCCTCCGCAGGGCTGGAGGGGAAGGTCTTTCCTCATCAGTTTCAGCGAACCAAGGAACAGTAGATGCTTGAAGTGAACCGAATCACCTGAACATCCATATTGCTTCGGATTCGTCCGTCTTTTCCGCGTGCTGTGAGCGACAGGCCGTATGTCTACAACATCCAGCAGCACTGGACGTTTGGGTTGGGCAAGGATTTGTTTCAGTTCCAAGTGAGAGGAAGCTCTCAACAGCCAGAGGAGGGGGG